GGTATCTCGAAGGGCAGAGTTTAATTACGCGTCGCCCTGTCGAAGGAGTGGGGCGCGGGGACCGCGGGCCATGACCGCGAGTTCAACATTTGTGAAATCATTTGCGCGGCAGCCTCGGATCAGGAAGGGTGGGTCCGCGATATTTTCGGTCAGTCGTCCTAAACTCTGGAACAATCGGTGTTCGGAAAAGTCTATTCTTGGGGTACTACATATCGTTGAAATATTTAGCTGGTACATCTGGCCGTTGGAATATTCAGTCATTTGGATATTCGGTTATTGGGATATTTCGCACTTGAGATTGCGTTTAAGATCGCGTTTGAAATTGCGTTTGAGATCGCATTTGGGATCGGGCCCATGAATCGTAAAAGGCATACAGACGTTCAACAAGGATGAACCGCGTTTAACGCAATCCATAGTGATATTCGCTTCTGATCGCTTCTTCTCGATAAGATATTTTGTTCGACTCGAGCTGAGCGAAGCCGAGCCGAGCTGACCTAGTCGATGCAAAACCAAGCGAGCAAAGCTGACCTGAGCAAAGTCGTGCCGTGCTGAGCGAAGCCGAGTCGATCGCGCTTGAGATCATGCTTCAGATCGTACTTTAGATCGTGCTTGAGATCGCGCTTTAGATCGCGCTTCAGATCGCGCTTGAGATCGCATTTGAGATCGCGCTTCAGATCGCGTTTGATATCGCGATTTTCGTCGTAGATTCCTTGTATCGGCCAAGGTGAATTTTGTTTGAAAATCCGTCGCGTATATTTTGGAGCATTTAATCGTGGGCTTTGGTTATCGTATTTGGGTGGGTTTTTGGCTGACCTCTTCATGAATTTTCCTTGAAATCTACGAAAGAAAGAATCACCACGTCAACAAACATCGCCACGTGGTACGTCGTAGTCCTATCTTTATTCATTCATTATTTTTACACTGTCTTGCGATTGAATTTAATCGAATTTCGTGTTATTGTTACAGATCTTGAAATCACATGCGAGTCAGAGATCGTGAAGCAACGCGATCGGGCTTCGTCGAGGAGGTGCCGATGTAAGTGTTATCTTTATCACCTCATAAAACATCTATGACCTATAATACATAATCTATTTTCACGTTTAATAGCGACTGAATTTAATCGAATTTCTTACTATTGTTACAGATCTGGAGACTATGTGGATTGCTGAGATCGAGAGGCAACACAGTCGGGCTTCGTCAAGGAGGAAGGGATGCAAGTAGAATCTTCATCAATATGGAAATTACATGCAATAGTTTATAGAGATGAATAATTTTACAAACTATGTTGGACGTATTTTAATATCTCTGTGCTTTTCTTTCTGTTCCAGGACTCTAACGCAGCTCCCTCCTCCCACCAAGTAGTAAGTGAATATTCGGAATACTATTTCTTTTTTTATTACGTAGAAAATGTAGAAATTTTTGACGAGTACAGTGACCAAAGGATTGCCCGGCAATCCTTTGAGTGGTAATCTGTTTCCTAGTTAGGTAGGGTCTTTTTATATGTCGCGATTTCCTGCGATTGTTACAGGTTCGAATGATTTTATTTCGAAACTGCCAAAAAATTAATCTTTTACAATACCCGATTATTATAATACGAATGTTAGAAAAATTATGTTGGTGCATTTGCTGCACCAACGTATCGAATAACTTTGTTCCGCCTAATTACATTAGAGATCACGTGTAAAAAGACGTTTCGCGGTAGGTGTAAATCGTATTTTATTAAAATCTGAAATAATAGAGTTTCTTATTCGTTACGAAAATTCTTATTAAATGTATTTGAAATTATTGTTATGAAATTATTACTAAGTAGACACATTTTTCAATGAATTGGAAGAATCTTAACCCGAGGAACTAACTACTCTTTTTAGTTAGGATTTTCAGAGATCCGAGGTTCCATGTTTGTTGCTCGAATCCTTCCTAGTATCCAAGCGTTACTCTGTAGGGTGCGAGCAATGGCACATGGAACGGTATTTAATAATAATAGTTGTGTATGTGTGTGTGTGGCTAGGCAGTGGATTTTGCGTCGTTTTTTGAAATCGAAACTAGTTCAAATCGAATATATTCTATGTACACGATTCGTGTCATGCAACGTGGATCGGTATGGAATATGTGTGCACAGAATGTTCATTTTCTATTCTTATGGGATGAAATGAATCTGTCTCTTATACACATCTAGATGTGTATAAGAGACAGATTCATTTCATCCCATAAGAATAGAAAATGAACATTCTGTGCACACATATTCCATACCGATCCACGTTGCATGACACGAATCGTGTACATAGAATATATTCGATTTGAACTAGTTTCGATTTCAAAAAACGACGCAAAATCCACTGCCTAGCCACACACACACATACACAACTCTGTCTCTTATACACATCTAGATGTGTATAAGAGACAGAGTTGTGTATGTGTGTGTGTGGCTAGGCAGTGGATTTTGCGTCGTTTTTTGAAATCGAAACTAGTTCAAATCGAATATATTCTATGTACACGATTCGTGTCATGCAACGTGGATCGGTATGGAATATATGCACAGAATGCACATAATGTTCATTTTCTATTCTTATGGGAGGAAATTAATGAATAAAAGCTCACAAGAGTCTTGATAAATTCAACTTTACCGATATGGTATTTATTCAGAAATACCATGAAGAAAGTAACTTTCGATTAGAATTTGATTAAATCGCAATGATCGCTACGATTGTCAGTCGATTTCAGGAACTAACGTATAGCTTATAACGGAAACGAATGATTATGTTGGAGTGCAGAGGCGTCCCGGGACGTTCTCCGTGTAGGAAACAGCACCTCAACGTATGAGTGAGAACCGTGGAGTGAATGTGTTGGTGCGATCGCTTTGCTATTTTTTAAATATAGCATTAGGCAGGATAGGTAACTTGCTTTCACGGAGTGTGTGAATTGTTAGGTAGGGCTGGGGCTGACTATCGTTCTCTGTTCGGGTAGATCGCGAATCGCACGATAGTCGGCCACCGGTAGGGCTCGAAGGATTCGATTCGAAGTTGATTCAAACGGTGCATGACGTTCGATAACGGCTCGAAATCGATCCTTCGAGAATTCTCTTAGCTTCCGCGGTCGCGAACGCGAACGCGCGGGAATTAGGGTTTTCGAAACGAAACGATACCGGCTCCATTGCACCAGCAGGATTATCGACTTTTTTCGAGACTTTGTTATTTTGTCTCGGAATTCGTTGATCTTCTACTAGCTGCGGAGCACGTGTAAGGTTCTAGGTTCAGCAGGCGAATCGCCGAAGAAAAGAAGAGGCTATAAATCCCGAAG